TAGCCATATTCCCACCCACCTCTCTGAGCTGCAGCGCAAATGGGTATACTAAAAGGCTGGGCCGCGCCGACTCTGGCCGCTTGCGCTCTTCTGGAACTGATGAGGGAGAGAAACACGGATGTGCCGCAGCCATCTCTCTGCCGCACATTCCTGAGGGACCATGACAGTAGCACACAAATTTCTGCACAGCAAAAGGATGAATGACTGATAAAGAGCCCACTGTATTGAAGCGCAGGAAGTCACCGGAAGACTTTTTTAGGTGAAAAAGTGAAACCTGACCAACCTTTGCATTGATCTTCTCTAACTTCACTTTCGTCGTAGCCACCTCTTCCTTTCGCTTCTCACACTGCGACTCTTCTTCAAATTTAGCAATCTGCTCTATAAGACGGTCGCGCCGTTTCTCAAAAGATCTGAAATGTGAAAACGAAGTGATGGACTAATCGCACACACATTGCTGGCTATCAGGTTCTTGACAAAACGGAAAAAAGAACAACATAAGTACGCAATGAATATATGAAATCCAGTCGAATTTCAACCACAGACAGGAAACACTCACATGCGGCTACTTTCTAGAGCCCTTTGTTTCGAGTCTTGACCACTTATGTCACTTTTGAGATTCCTAAACAAACAGAATGAGGTTTAACATTTTAGTGCTACAACATCGTGATCACTAACCCTATCGTAGCTTTCAGCGAGCTGATCTTTTCTCGTAGACTCCGCAGACTATTACTCTTCTTTTCTATCCGACTGCGTATTACAGATGCTTCAGTGGCACAGTCCTGAAATAGCAACTGTGCCGCTTTATCCTCTCTATATATAAAGCAGAAGTTGTGTGTGTGTGTGTATGTTTGTGTGACCGCCCGAAAATTAGGGACTATGTGGAAAATCACTTTTAGGGAACGGATCAAGCTTGGGATGGTTGTGGCATGGGTCAACATTTACAGAGCACATACAAGGTAACCTAGGCTCCGCCCACAATGGGCGGGGCGTGCGAGAAGTGAACGGTGCCAAGGATAAAAATTTTCAAAACGCATCCTGAGCAGCCCGAGGGACGGGTAATATGTGTGAAGGGCGACAGCGGGAAGCTAGAGAAGTAAAGATATGTGAATGAGATGTGCACCGAATCAGTGGCACCTACTGCAAAGGTTCATAATTTCGTCAGACGCATGAGAATAGCAGTGAACAGGGCATGGCATGGGTGTATGGGGGTCAAAATCGAAAGTTTGTAACCTATCTGCATTTATTATTTGTTTATTCACCTATTAACCTGTTATTTACGCGACAAAAACCCAAATACACAATACTTCCTCTTCAGTTTATCCATTAATCATCCAGTACCGGCTTCCCATTCCTTCCCTGTACTGAAATTTCACAACTGCCCGGTAGGGAGGGGGTATATACGAAAAAAGAGAAGTTAATGTTCTGAATTTGTGAGCGAAAGTGGATGACTCCGATATACCAACGGAGGGAACACAGTCGGATTCGCCTGCCCTTCGCCAGAAAAAAAAATTTGCACAAATTCAGAGGAACATAACTTCTCTCTTTTTCGTTATACCCCTCCCCCCCCCCCTACCGGGCAGTTGTGAAATTTCAGTACAGGGAAGGAATGGGAAGCCGGTACTGGATGATTAATGGATAAACTGAAGAGGAAGTATTGTGTATTTGGCGGCGTAAAATAACTAGGTTTAATTCAGGTGAATAAACAATCAATAAATGCAGATAGGTTACAAAACTTTCGATTTTGACCCCCATACACCCATGCCATGCCCTGTTCACTGCTATTCTCATGCGTCTGACGAAATTATGAACCTTTGCAGTAGGTGCCACTGATTCGGTGCACATCTCATTCACATATCTTTACTTCTCTAGCTTCCCGCTGTCGCCCTTCACACATATTACTCGTCCCTCGGACTGCTCAGGATGCGTTTTGAAAATCTTTATCCTTGACACCGTTCACTTCTCGCACTCCCCGCCCATTCTGGGCAGAGCCTAGG